GACTACACAGTGTCACGCCCACTCCTAGAGTCGCTGCCGTGACAGTCTCAAACCCAACAAACTTATCTGCGCTCGGAGAAAAGTCCTAGAGCTCAGGTTGTGTTATTTGCTCGGCTTACCCTACTACCCTGAAGATAGAGGCAGTACGTTCCTCCGAAACGTTGATAAACTACCAGAATACATGGCCTCATTTCACAAAGAGAACTCTTTGAACTTATTTCTGGCCCATCTGGCTTCGACCACACTGGGCAGTCCTCAATAAAACGGCGGCTTTTGTTTGTACGGTTATGAGGAATCGCATCAGATTGCGATACAAGAATATGCGGAAAAGTTCGGAATGCGGTCCCTATTCCAGGGAGTTTCCCTCGAGGGTGACTCGGGTTCACAAGCTTCGAAATGTGCGAGACGACATGAAAAGAACTGCTTTTCCTTATTAAATTTTGACGAAGCAATCACTAGCCTGGATGAAATACAATCTCAGATATGTTACTACTGGGAAATTCAATTTAAGTCATGATGAAGGATATGGTATCTGCATCTGACACTTCGATAACGGAGTTTCTTGGTTCCTTCGCAACAGCGCTGAGCTCTCGACACACGTCGGCCACACTTCGCCTTTGCTGGCACCAGACATAAAGAAGAACAGACGCAAAGAAAGCTAAGCCCTACCTTGCGTTTCGTAAGAAGATTTCGTGCCCAGATCACAATATAAAGAAACAGTGGCTGTAAATCTCTGGATATTGCAGGCGCTGTTGCACAGCCATGGTCACCACAGACTGGACTGGACAGGTACACAGGTTTCGTAATGACTTTGCTGGCATCGCTCAACTTAGAGTCCAGAAAATATGTCAAGGTCAGTTAGGATCGATTGAGCGCGTGGCCACTGGACAACACGTCAATACGTGTGTGTGAAGACGGCAATTTCCATTGTAAAATGTTAAAAAAAGCTAGCCATGTAACAGGCTGTGGAGGCCCATAGGGTTGTGAGATGTTGAGGCTCCCACATTGTCTAGACAACCGGCTCACAGATGGAGGCGAGGTGAGCCTCACGCGCCGGTCGCACTTTAACCCCAGGGAGACTGTTGGTACTCATTTATGTTAGAGGCTGAGTCGACTCCAAGGCCATAGTGCGACTGGAAGGATTAGGTTAATTGAAAAATCCAACGACCTGATAGGGAATCAATCGAACCCGCGACCTTCCGGCTCGTAGCATAGTGCCTCAACGAACTACGCTACCGCGTGCTGGGTATAGTTTGTGGTATTAAGGAAATATCTAAAGCAATGTTACTTCGTATGTCTGCCAACCTGGACCCACAAGTTATTTATCCCTCTGAAGTCTAAATCTGATGATCGTAATATTTAAAGCATCAGTTTCACACTACGTCTCCGCTACAGAGCCCAACCGGTTAATGCTGCTTAGGGAAACAGTCGCTGTTAATGTGAGAACCATATGGAACGCACAGATAATGTAGAGATTCAGTCCGTACCTCACAGGAGACACATTACGTCTCCACTACAGAGCCCAACCGGTTAATGCTGTTTAAGGAAATAGTCGCTGTTTAATGTGAGAACCATACGGGACACGCAGATAATGTAGAGATTCAGTCCGTACCTCACAGGAGACACATTACGTCTCCACTACAGAGCCCAACCGGTTAATGCTGTTTAAGGAAATAGTCGCTGTTTAATGTGAGAACCATACGGGACACGCAGATAATGTAGAGATTCAGTCCGTACCTCACAGGAGACACATTACGTCTCCACTACAGAGCCCAACCGGTTAATGCTGTTTAAGGAAATAGTCGCTGTTTAATGTGAGAACCATACGGGACACGCAGATAATGTAGAGATTCAGTCTGTATCTCACAGGAAACACATTACGTCTCCGCTACAGAGCCCAACCGGTTAATGCTGTTTAAGGAAATAGTCGCTGTTTAATGTGAGAACCATACGGGACACGCAGATAATGTAGAGATTCAGTCCGTACCTCACAGGAAACACATTACGTCTCCACTACAAAGCTCAACCGGTTACTGTTGTTTATTGTGAGAACCACACGGAACATATGAATACAATGAGTGTGGACAAAAAGCAGAATCCTTCTCATGTTGTAAAGAAGGCTATATAAATGCTGTAACTACTGTATTTTACAGGATTAATACGAACTGCCGTATACCGAGAGTTAAACATACTTGCAGCATGAGTTCTGAAACAAAACACTTGTCATGGCAACTAACATGTGGCAACGAAAACTAAATAAACAGTTTGCCAACAAGGATGAATCGCACACTCATACCCAGATATCCTGGCGAGAACCGAAACCGGAACTGCGAATGGGCCATACGTCACTTCCTGAAGGCTACGTCACATCAATTTTCCTTCCTCAATGACGCTGCGCCACTAACTTGCATCATACATTCAAGTTATCAGTTACTCAGCATGCGTCGCGTCCGGTTGCTTACCACCCCTGCTACGTATTGGAGAAGCCACAGTTCAAATGTTGGCCGTCCTGACCCAGTTCTCCGCGCAAATGCTATGACAATACCACAAACTGCACAACTAAAACTTCCTTCCAAGAATGCCCAACATTGCCGCCAAAAGATAGGTACTGGATTTCATTTGTGAAAACAGAATGGAGAAATATTACTTTTTTTTCAGCGAGCCGCACGTGGTTCGCGAACCACACATTGTATATTAAACCTACACAATCTCAAGTATTGACAGCGTTGTTAAATAAACCATAAATAAATAAGTTAAGTACACAGTACAGTCGTTAACAATAAAGACTTTCGACTGTATTGAATTAATGATACAACATTCCACATTGCAAGCGGCCGGCCAAGCGTGGCTTAATTCAAAATGGAACTTCGGGTGGTTGTGGTGGGGTAGGGTGGGGGGCTAAAAATGGTTGCTTCGCATGCATGACCCGAAGCCACTCGAATACTTTCTCAAGTAGGCTAATTTCATGCACGTTATACGGATCATTAATAATATTTGATTACTGTGAGACGCCTGACAAATATTCTGACCGCCCGTAAGGCTTGCGGGGAATTAGCACACCCAAGGAAGCCACCTTCGTTATAACGACCAGGCTAATTCCCTTAGCACAGCGTTTATCTGATACATCATAAACTAGATCAGAGAAGTTCGAAGGGACGGTAGTGAGGAGCTGTCTAAAAGTAAATTCATACAATCCAAAGTACATTCTGCAGATAGCGCGGTCGGTACAGCAACTGGCTGCGGGCTGGACGACCGAGCGGTCGCAGTTCGAGTCCCTGTAGGGTTAAGAATTTTCTCTTCTCAAAGCCGTCCAGATAGGCTCTGGGGTCCACCCAACTTCCTATTCAATGGATACCGGGGGTAAAACGGCAGTGGCGTGAAGCTGACCACTCACCTCAACCAGTGCTGAGGTCAATAAAATGTGGATCCATACATCCACTCCCCCACACGTCTTCATGCAGTAGTGTTTAATTAGTTAAGCACAGGGGCAACTTTGCCTACCTTTTACGGTCTTCTGCGTTGCAACGTTGTGCAATTCGCAGAGCTGAACGTTTCGGAGAAATATATAGACTCTATCTTCAGGGTCGAACAGTTAAAACCCAAAATAATGCACTGCTTCACAGTCACCGCCGCGAGAACATGAAACCCAACAAAGCAAATGTTGATGTCACGTCATCAGACTGCAGAAGTAAAGCGTGACCCTTCGAGAATTTGGCAACGTTCATGCAGCTGAGCCCTTCTTGAGGAGCCGCCAAATGTGCAGCTACTCAACAACTTCCCAGCATTATATAGAACCCGAAGGTTCATTACAGTGTTCACAACAGCTCTTCCTGGTGGTTTCTTTCCTTCTGGCTTTCCCACCAATGTCCTACGTGCATTCATCTTCTCCCCATTCATGCTACATGTCCTGCCAATCTCATAGTACAACAAAAATTATATTAACGGAATTAAGAGAGTGCATTCTGCAGAAACCTGCTGTCATCCGTTTGAGAGTCCGGCGTTTTCCCGTCTCATGTGTCAACAGGTGCGAAACTTTGTTAAGGGAAGGTACAGATTGAGGAGGCTCGGGAGTAGAATGCTGGTGAGATTATCTGGACCCAAGGGGGAAGAAAAAACGGGATGAATGTAACAGCTGCAGCTCAGTACAGAGTTTATGTCGGTTCTATCGGCAGGATCGAAGAATAAGCCAAACAAGAAACCAGCGTGAAGCTGCTCCTCCGAAACTCCGGTTTACTTTCAACGGACTGTACGGCGTCACATTCCACATGATCGAACTGTTCATAGCCGCCGCTGCTATAACCTCAACTCCTTCACACACCTCAACAGTTCCTATCATTTTTATCAAGATGTTCAAATCAGGGAAAAAGAGATAGGATGTTCACGTAGCACACATGAGAGGAAAGAACTGCATAAAAAGTATAAATCGGAAAACCTCAGCGAGGAGATCACTTAGAAGAAATGTGGGTAGATGGGAGGATAATATTAAAGTGTAAATTAAAGAAACAACATAAGTGTGTGCAGAGTTCATATGTCTCAGGACAGGGCCCCCTGGAGGGCTCTCTGTTCCTTATTAACAGTTCATTTAAGTATGCTACCAGCAGCTTAGATCATACAGAGCCGAACGGTGAGACGAACCGGAAATGACGTGGAAGAAAAAAAAGGACTCATGTGAACGCGGTTATAAAATTTCGGGTTCCACAGACGTGAGGACATTTTCTGAAGAACTTAGCAACTTCGTGACGGATTCTGCTCCACGGAGTGAGCGACCCAGCGAGTTTAGTGAAGTGACAACGCGTTCGGGACGTGCTTGGTTCCAATCTCGGCCGGGGTGCCGACTATTCCGAGCCTTTTTCGTTGTTTTCCTCAGTCCTTCTATGCTCCCGGGATAGTACATTAAATCATGACATGGTCGCTTTCCTTTCCATGTCCTTTCTAGTCATCAATCACCATTGTGCTATATAGTCTGAGTTACTGGCAATATACACACAATATAGACTCACCGTGTGAAAACGCTGATATACGTTAAGCCGACGGGCAGGGAATCCCGACCTGCAGTGGGGGAGCAATGGACGCGAAACAGGGAGAACTCGGCTCTAGAATTAATCCGTGCTGACCACTGAACTGCAGTACTTCAGAACGCGCGCCTCAGAAGATGTGAAGCCGAACAGGAGCACACTGCCATGGGCTCATCTTGGATCGGTCGAAACGTCCAACTTCACGTTCAATTTGAAGTGATCAACACCGTATTTCGCCAACGAAGTCTTAGAAGCGCAGTTATCACACTTACACAACACTTCTGTAACACTTATTGTGACACACTAACCTTACGAACTGTACGATATGACTAAACAAAAATATGTCAAAATTAATTCCAGCTCCAGAAACACATAAGCTGCCTCTACATAAGTCGTACCAACTTAGAATCGAGCCAAGTTCCTTTGCTCAATCTTGTTCCTTTCCCCTGGCTCAGACTCCGGCCTGCACTTTCACACGGCTCGATCAATATTTACAGCGAGCCGAATACATAAATACAGAAGGATACATTCACGCAATTAAATCACTTGTGTCACTGATGATTCACGATCGGTACTCAGACAGCTGATGATAGTGGTGAACCTGTGAGGGCGCAGATCAGCTTAAACCAGCAGAGAAAGCATCACTGGCGTGACGAGTTCCTTGGCCGTTGCTACCTCTCGCAGTCCGGACTCGGGAGAGACTACCTGACGCGAGCCCTCTCTGGCGCAGTTCGCGACAGCCAACCGGCGGCAGGACGAGTCCACCCACGTAGCGCAAGTATTCACGCCTGCTTCCAGCACCGAGTGAATCAATTAACGGATGAATACAAATAAACACCGATCCCAGACGCGGAGCGATTTCGACTTGAGCACTCTTGCCTGTTTATATCACACTGGTTACTACTACACGTACCTCTACCTCTTGCTTAAGATGGGGACACGCGGTAGTGTAGTTGGTTGAGGCACTAGGCTACAAGCCGGAAGGTCGCGGGTTCAAGTCACGATGAAGTCACTGGATTTTTTTCGGTTGACCTAATCCTTCCAGCCGCACTATGGCCACGGGGTCGACTCAGCCCCTAACAGAAATGAGTACCAGGAATCTTCTTGGAGGGTAAAGGGTGGTCGGCGCGTAAGGCTGACCTCAGCGCCATCTGTTAGCTGATTGTCTATATAATGTAGGACCCTCCACGGCCAGTTACAGGGATGGGATCGCTATAGCAGAATATGCCTGCCTTCAGGCACGTGCGGCTCTCCTGGCACTTCGTTGCTACACCGGCCCTCTCCTCCTCCTCCTCCTCCTCCTGCGGAAGGAGGCAAAAAGTGTTTCGTCGTGCTTGAGTGTCTGGTCAAGAGCCCAGATAAGGCTCGACATGGGCCTGAGTGAAACGCATGCAAGTGCCAGTGTCCTCACCACCGGATAGAATATGAAATTTAATCGAAATCCGTTAAAATACCTTCCGAGATAAACTATGTAAAGGTAAATAGGTACAGCTATGCCTGTAACAGGCAGTGAAGGCCCATAGGGTTGTGAGACGTTCAAGCTCCAACATTTTCTAGACAGTCGGCTCACAGATGGCGGTGAGGTCGTCAGCCTTACGCGCCGGCCACCTTTTACCCCCAGGAAGATTTCTGGTACTCATTTCTGTTATAGGTTGAGTGGACACCACGCCCATAGCGCAGCTGGAAGGATTAGGTCAGTTTAAAAATCCAGTGACCTCATCGGCAATCGAACCCGTGACCTTTCGGCTTGTAGCATAGTGCCGCAACCAACTACGCCACCGCGTGCCAAGATAAAATATGCAAAAGGTGAAAATATCTCCAGTATGAGTTTAATTTATGTACTGGCTCGAAAAGAAGAAAAAGATAGTTACGCTTTGTATGGCTTGTGAGGGTTGCGAAGTTCCGGCCCGAAATCTTAATTTTGTCAATTTTACATGCAATTTTATAAGCAACTACAACTATACAGTCACGAGATTCGACATACAGGAATGTATGTACTTGAGGTTTCTGTGCAAGTGCAGGGTTCTCTTTCTGGCGATTTGCTTCTAAACTACTTCAGCTGATACGTAACTTCGAACTATAACCACGGAGCATAATATTTCTTGGAAGCTACTAGTTGCTCAGTCAGTAAAAAAAATTCTCAACATTTTATGCAATCTGAAGATTCACAACAGCCCGCAGATGGTCGCTATCCTGAGCTAGATGAATCCACTCCACACCCTCCCATAAGATTCAATTTAGTATCCTCCGGCCACTTACGTCTTTGTCTTCCCAATTATCTCATTCTTTCACGATTCTCTGTCAAAAACTTTGTACGCACGTCTCTTCTCACTCTGCTACATGCCTACCCATGTCATCCTCGAGTCCATCATTTTAATGAAACTGGCAACAAATACAAAACATGTTAAGTCCCATTTATTCTTCTCCTGTCACTTTATCCCTCTTAGGTGCAAATATTCTCCTCAGCACTCTGTTCTCTAACACCCTATGTCTATGCCCCATATGTTACAGCCACACCCACACCACTTTCACAAGTAGGAAGCTTGTAGTAGAACAGGGAAATACGCCTGAATGTTACTGCGAAGCTGCCCTCAGAACAATATGGAAAACATGACGGACAGGAAATCGTGCAGGAAAGGATTACGGCAACATGACTTCCGGTGCGTAGCTCCTTCAGCTGTCGTTCGCACGAAGCAACAATGGCTACTCCAGTCACATGAACACGAACGTCAATAGTAATCACTAGAATTTAAATGAGCGCATTAAGGCACTGCGACAAACACCACTCTTGCACGAAACAGTCTTGAGTATTGCGGCTATGAATGCAGAGTGGCGTCGGGATTCTTGGGAATGCCCAACTCTAAACACAGAACCTGAACTGAATTCAAGTGGTCCACGATCGAATTGCATGATTTTGTGAACACGGTAATGAACATTACGGTTACATAAAAGGAGGGAAATTTCTAGACCATATGAACAACTGTCAAGTGCTTATCCCTTCAAAGCCCAGCGGTCACTACATGTACCATCTACTTTAACACACTAAAACTCTACATCCTGCCCGCAGATTGCATCTGTGTGTTCCGTATGGTTCTCACAATAAACAGCGGCTGTTTCCCTAAACAGCATTAACAGGTTGGGCTCTGCAGTGGAGACGTAATGTGTTTTATGTGAGGTACGGACTGAATTTCATTATTATTTGTGTGTTCCGTATGGTTCTCACAATAAACAGCGACTGTTTCCTGAAACAGCATTAGCCGGTTGGGCTTTGTAGCAGAGACGTAATGTGTTTCCTGTGAGGTACGAACTGGATTGCCATATTATTTATAAGAAATTGTCTTAAAGGGGTTAACTGGTTAAATACTGTCCACCTATCACCGGATAACAAATGGAACGGACACGTAGAAAGAACTGGGGATCCAAGGTGGTCGAAATAAAGCGTTCAGTGGACACAACTGAGTTAGAAGGAATTTGGGAACGGTCGCAGACAGAGAAAGGGAACATTAATATTGTATATATATATACACTAGCTGTACCCGGCCACGCGTTGCTGTGGCTCAATCTAACGAAATATTTCAATTCAAACGCAGATCAATCGACACAGCTCAATCCCATCGCCAATTGCACTGAAAAATAAGGAAAACAGTTAAGAAAACGAAATGAAAAACAATGAAAAATAAACTATACACACGAAATGAACGCTATGGTAAACGACACAGTCCAATTCCAACGCAATGTCACACGAAATAATTAAATCAAAATGAAAATAAATCGAAACTGTTTATATTCGGCGGTAGCTATCCCGAGACTGACTCCTCCAGACTCTCTTCTGTATCCCTCGACATCTGCCCCGAGACTGGCTGCTTCTTGTCCAAGCTGGACTATTTATACCTCGGCGGATGCTATACAATGAGCCTTCTGTTGTCTATCACCGGGGAAACGCTTGGTTTCATCCGTTGTTACGCAACGGAACCTCTTATCCTCTCATNTTCGAATGCAACGTTGTGTCAAAATTTCAAAGCAATCGGCGAAGAACTTTCGGAGATCTTCGAGGGGTAACAAACCAACATTTACGTTTTTATTTATATATATATATTGTAACGTGTATTGTTGTTACGTCACGGCGGGGGAGGGGGGCGCCACTGAGCGCTGCGTACTGATAGAAGGAGTGGAGGTATGTGACGTCACTCGCGAGACCACAGATTTCGCGCGATTCCCGTTGCGCCATCCACGTCACTATATATATATTATTGCTAGTGAGGTGGGACTAAGTCCCTTGTACTGCGGCCACTTCTGGCTTATTGTACCAGCCCCAGATGATAGGTGAGGGTGATTGTGGAACAATTGGTGGAATGAAGATTGGCAGGGGAAACCGAAGTACTAGGAGAAAACCTGCCACAGCGCCACTTTGTCCACCACAAATCCCACTTGACCAGACCCGGGATCGTACCTGGGCCGCCACGGTGGGAAGCAGGCAACTAACCGGTTGAGCTATGGCGCGGCCAACAATAATATATTACGAAGCACAGTATGAGAAAGGGAAAAATAAAGAAACTGGAAAATTCCAAACAAGAGGGCTTTACCGTTGAAGGAGCTCAGTCGGTATATAGACTGGGAACGGTCTGGAAGGCCGCGGCTCCGGGGTTCGATTGCCGGCAGGTTTTATTTGAGGTTCTCACGGAGATGACTGAGTAATGCCATCTGGGAAGTGACGCCGTAGTCTGGTAAAGTTTAACGGAGTTTCGGAGGAACGTACGGCATCCATCTTCAGGGGCGTAAAGTAAGACAAACCAGCAAGTAGGAAGCAGAGCAGACGCATATGAATAATACAGCCCAAAATCTGGGTGTTTCCTAGTGGGAAATACTGATGCTGGGTTCTGACTTATGACACCGTGCAGTCTCGTAGGCATCTACCAACGTACTGTAGAAACATAATTCGCTTATATTTTGGTTTCCAATCAGACGATAGGGGCAATATAAGCATCAATGTTTCGGAGATCACACTGTCTCCTTCATCAGGAATCCATTCTGATTATGGAAGTGGTGTAAGTACCATCGTTTCCAGGCAAATACTGTCTCAATCTTCATGATTCTATCCTGAATATTGGGGCACGCGGTAGCGTAGTTGGTTGAGGCACTATGCGACTAGCCGGAAGGTCGTGGGATGGATTCCCGATGAGGTCATTGGATTTTCCAATTGACCTAATCCTTCCAGCCGCACTATGGCTGTGGGGTCGACTCAGTCTCTAACGGAAATGAGTACCAGGGAACTTCCTGGGGTCAAATGGCGGACGGCGTGTAAGACTGACAACCTAACCGTCATCTGTGAGTCGACTGTCTAGAAAAAATGTGGGAGCCTCGATATCCAAGGATCCTATGGGCCTCCACGACGTTACAGGGATGCGCAGTGCGTACTTTCGCCGCTTGGTGGCACTCACTTATCACATGACGGCGTCACGACGCACGAGAGCAACGTACAGATATCACGTACGTTAATCAAGTCATTCCGATGAAGACGACTGTCTGACCTTTCACGTCCTGGGCGTGGCACAAAATGCGGTGATCAAATCCGAAGTTTCAGAAATCGATTTCGCATGAAATATAACAGCTCCTGAGAGAAATCTTATTTTGGAGTCCAAGAGAGAGTTGTGTTTAGCTACGGGCCGGGTTCTTCGCTTCATTTGGTGACACAAAACGGGACCAGTCACTGAACATCA